TATTTTAGAACACCATTTTCCATTGATTTCGAACTAGCTTAGGTTTAAGATTGATTTGCAATTACTCTCGTTCCTCGTGGACCGAACCTTTATTTGCCATTGTACTTGGTTATAGGGTGTTCGTATAAGTATTGTTTGATTGAGAGTTAGATTGTAGCGACCGATTTAACCCTTGTCAACTACTCACAAATCATATTGAAGACAATATCAATCATTAAATAAATAATCATCAACATGATCAATAAGCAAAGAAGGAAAATCAAAGCAAATAAGCAAAATAAAAAACAAAGGTAAAGAGAAAGAGTAAGAGATTGCTCATTAATGAAAGATGAAGGTCTACAAAGGATTGAACAAACTCCTTCTTCAAAATCCAAGTTCATCAATGAAGAAACCACACTTTCTTTCTCTACCAATGAATACTAAAAGTGTTTCTCTCTCTAGATTAAGCTAAAATGTTGATAAGATAGATGATAATACAAACTTGAAATAGGAGGCTATATATATGCATCATAAAAGACGGAAATAAAACTCCTAGGAGAGCCCTTTAGCAAGCAGTTGCGCCCTCTCCAGCCTGGGTACGGAGTTGCTTAACCCAGCAACCTGCGCCCGCGGCTCTACTCCCGCGCCCGCAGCCAAAGAAAAGAGATGCCGTCTCCTGCTGAAGAGAGGCCGCGACAAGATAACAGGGTAAGAGCAGCCTCGAAGAGCCGCGCCCGCGGGCCACAGAGGAGGGCCCTCTCCCGAGGCGCGGCGCGAAATCTACAGAAAGTTCGAGCTGATTGCATTTACAAGGACCCGCGTCCGCGGCTCTGCTCCTTGCTATAGTGCCTTCCTTGAGAATCAAATTTCCTTTCCATGGCTCGCCATGCATCCAAGGGTTCATCCAAAAGGGCCAAAAACTTACAAAACAACGAAGAGACGCTAGAAAAACCAACAAAAGGGAAAAAGAAAGGAAAAAGCAAAACTAAGGTAAAAACGCTTAAAGAGGCTCAAGCAAGTGCAAATGAGGGGAGAATCCTTAGAGAAAAGGGGTGGAAAAGTGGCATAAATGCCACTTATCACCTGCCACCGTGGATAGCCAAGGTAGGCCACTCATGGTGGCCTGCATCCTAGCATAGCTGCTGCCACGCTGCTGCCCTTGCGGCAGTGGTTGCTGAATCAGGCAGCCAGCCACCACAACTAGGTTCGGCTAGCCAACCACGGTGGCCGGCGCTGGTGGCTCGATTTTTTTAAAAAAATTGAAATTATTTTTTAAAAAATATTTCAAGATAAATATGATTTACTTTGGGATAAAATAAAATATTTAGAAATGTAATCTTTTATTTTGGATAAAAATCTTTTTGTTTAGGATAAAATCAAATCTTTCAAAAGTTGATATATTTGATATTATCCATATCTAAAGTTATTATTGGTTATTATCCATAATTAAGTAATTTTTAATAAGATTAATTAGGATATTCTGAGCATATTCCAAAAGGATAATAATTGATTTAAATAATGGGATTATCCCATAATTAGATTAGGATGTAATTGATTTTAAAATTATTTAATTGCTTAATAATTAGGATAAAATCTCCTAAATTTGTTAGGATAATCATGAAAGATTAAATATGATTTATCTTTTTAGATTAAAAGAAGATTCGATTCTATCTCATGCCTAAACTAAAATAAATGTTATTTTATGAACGATCATGAATATTATACGATATTATCTAATTATGACTTAAAATACGAGATATTTTAGAAAATCGTTGCCTTAATTATGAACATTCAATGTTGTTGTTTAGACAAGCATGTTGAGTGATTTATTATATGGCATTTTATATAATATATGATATTATGTTGCTATTTATAGACTAATATGGCTCATAGATTCTAAATATGATCTGCGCATCGTGATGTATTTTTGTAGTCTAAATATGGTCTGCGTACCGTTAAGTATTTTTGTAACTTTTATTTAAAGTAAATAGATTGTTATTTAAATAGTCTTAGGCAAAATAAGCCCATGAAATGAAGGCCCAAAGGAGCAAGGTGGATGGAGATCCATGATGATTCAAGTGGGAGCATTTTCATATCTAGTTTTCTTAATACTAAGGGGTCATACTATGTCTGGTTTTATTACATTAGTAGATTACGCATGTTAGATTTATTTATGTTGATTGATGATGCGCTAGAGTTCACTAAATAATCACAACATAATAAATCTAGGTTCTAGTAATATTGAGATTGTTTTTCCAATTAAAAACCCAATAAACCTTTGGAATTTATGATAGATCATGCCAAAGTTAGGTGTCATTTTATATATTGGGAAAGTTGGGGTAAATCAAGTTTTACAATTTTAATTGGTTATGCTCAACAAGGTTACCTAAAGCGTTTAGAACCTTGAAGCAAAGGGTAATAATTAAACATGTGATGATTAATTATTTAACAAAGAGTTACAAGAGTTATAATCAGTAAAGAGTTTACTCGCCTTGAAAATGTAATGGTTGATGGTAGGGCCAAAGTCTGGTCAATTATTGCACGCATAAAGGGTCTTGGAATCACTTAAAATTAAATGATCTCAGAATCACCTAAAATAAAGAGAATCACCTGATCTCGGAATCCGAGAAGGTCTCACCTCTTTTTTCGCACTTTCTCCCATTTATCTTCAAGTACTAACTTGATCGTCGAAGGCGGAGCTCCAACCACCCATAGTCTCCGTTGTTTTGCAGGTATAGGCCACGCACAATCAGTCTCTGAGCTGTAACTCTCCCAAGGGACAAAATCACCCAAAACATTTGGCGCCATCTGTGGGGAGAGTACCTCAAGGATAGTTCAAGAGTCTGTACCACCTCCTGACCTTCCGGTTAACCAGACGGACGTCTTTACTGACCAAGAGGATGATGATCCTCAGGTCGAAACCTACATAGCCAAAGATGGCTCTCTGATTACTAAGTGCATTCATCCTAGAGACACTCTAGAACGGGGTGCAAGCCAGGCGGGTACAAGCCGACCCCCTTGTCAGCCATAAGGGGAAACCAATACGGTAGGCAGATCTGTCTCAGTCACCCGGGACGAACTCATGAAATTCATGACTAGTTTCAAGGGTGAAATCAAGGATATGATCACCAAGAGCAAGGCTGGCCCAAGCAAGGGTCAGTCGGCAAGAAAGACTCCTCCAGATAGGAGAAAGCCAGTTAAGGACAGGCAGCCAACTCCTCATCCAAAGGACAAGGTGGCCGAGACCTTTGACTGGTCCAAGATTCTTCTACCCTAGAAGAATATACAACCGCTCACCGGGATGAACAACCGGCGGGTAACAAAAAATCAATTTCTAATGCTCGTGAAATCATCACGCGCAGGAGAGGTCAGCATCTGCCTGAGTCAGCCTCTACCTCGAGCTTTCTAGACAGCTTCAAGAATACATCCGGAGAGAATGCTCAATTCTTGCATGAGAGCCATACAGGCGGTAATACCGTCCACTCTGGCCCTCAGATGATCGAGAATGCACCGTATGTACCCCCTATGGTCTACGGTCAGTATTCCCCTCTTTGGGGTCAGGCGGAATCCAATGTCCAACCTTTGGACAGGCAACTCCGTATGTACCCCCTATGGTCTACGGTCAGTATTCGTCTGTATGGGTTTATTTGGGGATGATCTAACTAACTTCTCTTAGTTAATTTTACTATATATATTTTTTTTTCTATTTTTAGGTGGAATTAATTTAGAAATTAGAATTAAAATTTTAAAGAGAGAAACTCTAGATTTGTATAGAGAGAAGTTCTTGATTGATGATTGAAGATTGGTAATTATAGCATTTTCTCCATTGAATTGAAGCAAGTTTGTAAGGATTTGTTTTACTTTAATGCAATCTTTAGCTTGTCATTTCAATTGCTTTGTTGATTGTTAAAGTTTGAATTGAATTTGTGATTGAATTAGTTCTATTGATATGATGACGATGAAATGGTTGATTAGCTTAGTTTTGATCTTAATTTCAATGGATTGTGAGTAGTTTTCTTGCTAGGGGAATGGTGAAGCATGTATGAGTAATGGATTGATGCTAATTGGGGGAAATTGATGGAGTTGATGATGTAATTAAATTGGTTGATTATTAAGTGCATGTGTGTGATTAATTGAAGAGAAGCTAACTTTGATTGTTACACTAGAATGCATTGTAAGCTTGCATTGATACGGAAAATTGATTTGTGGCTTGCTTTTGTCGATTGAGTAGGGTTTGCAAGGTTCCTAGTTAGAGTCTCTCGTAGTTGGTGCTAGCTTGACCTCTAGGAGATTAGCTCACGTTACTCTCTTGATTGCTTAATCGATTTTCCCTCGCAACACTTGACATAGTCATCTCCAATCCCAGTTAGCTATATCCAGATATGCGGATCCTAAACCTAGTTCTTGATAAATTTGATTTCATTTTGATTGTTTCGAATATACACACCTCATTTCATTGCTTCGAAATATCTTAGCTTTGACATTAGCGTTCACCTCACATTCCTAGTGGTTCGACCCTCGACTTACTCTATGCTTTGTATCACTAGTAGAAAAAGGCTCATTTGCGTCGCTCATTTATAGTGTATTTGCGTCGCTTCTAAGAGCGACGCAACTGCTCACGACGCAAATGATTTAAAAGTCATTTGCGTCACTCCTAGGCGCGACGCAAATAAGAGTCATTTACGTCACTCCTTTATAAACAAGTGACGCAAATAAGAGTTATTTGCGTCGCTCCTTTATAAAGGAGTGACGCAAATAGCTGTTGTGAGCAACTTCTTGTTTGTTATTTGCGTCACTTGTTTATATAGGAGTGACGCAAATGACTGACTAGACAATACAAAATTATTTTATTTGCGTCACTTGTTTGTTTAATGAGTGACACAAATGATGTGATTTTTTTTTAATTACAATAATTGCTTGTATATGTTTTTAGTACCTGTTTTCCTTGCTAGTGGTATAAAGTAATATGCTAACGCCAATAATTGAAATTAAAATGCAATATTAATGAATGCAAATGTAAATTTCGACAAAGTCTCCTTTGTATTTTGGCCTACCCATAAAGTTGGGAATGACGACATTATATTAACAACCTGTCCAATAATTTACATCTCAATATCATAGACATTATACTCATAATTCCAACGCCAATTAACCAAAATCATTCATGTCAAGCCTATAATCCAAAACAAGAGTCCAACATGCGCTAAGTGTAAATCTGAAGTTCAACATTACAAATAAAATACTCTGCCCAAATATCTCGAATCTCATTTATCTCCTCCCCGGTATACGGTGTAGCTCTTGAAAAATCCTATCAGCACAACAAATATACAAGAGGAAAGTTTTTAATTCAAGATTGTAGCTAACATCAAATTGTATTCATCAAACAAAAATGAAATATTTGACAACTCATACCTTAAATGGTTTAGATATATATATACCACAAGTGAAAACAATCTCGTATGTGTACTACCGCCTTAATTGTTTGTCCACAACCAGAACCTCGAGCAACTTGTGGAATTCACTTCCGCATAATTAAGAATCTGCCATTAAAAAAATACATATATTAAACCAACATAGTTGATTCAACTTAATCGATCTGCCATATATTCAATGACTGAAATTATATATATTCAACTAAATCTGCCATATATTTTCTAATTAATGAACTAACACTAAACCTGAAATTAAACTAAGTCATTGTTCAAGTTACATGCTACATTCTATCTACCATGAAAAGATTGAACATAAATAGAAGCAATCTTACCTTAGGTGAAATCGACTTCACAAATTCAACAATGTCGAGCCTAAATGCATTAATATGAGGGGGGCGAACACTGGTCGAACTGCTACACTAATCGAACTTCAATTATTGTTGTTGTTCTAGGGGGACTGTTCTTGAATTTCGGTTCTTGAATCCCAGGACTGTTCGTGAAATCCCAGGATTTTCCTTACATTAATCGAACTTCAAGAATGGGTTTTGAATTCCTTACACTATCCGTGAAAAATCCGGAATTCCTTACACTATCAATTAATCCTGGGAATCCTTACACCATTCCCAGGATTTTCCTTACACTAATCGAACTTCAATCCGGAATTCAACTAATCCTTAGATTTTTCTAGTCGAAAATTTCAGTCATTGCAATATGAGGCCAGGATTTTTAATTGAATTTTTTGGGGTTTCTAGGGTTCGAATTCCTATGGTTTTGAGTATATTTTTTGCTTGAAATGGGGGATTTTGGGTCGGAATTTGCTCAATTTTTCTGGGGTTTATGGGTTCGAATTTCTTAGGGTTTTTGGTCTAAATTTTTGTTCAAAATTGCTTGGATTTGCTGCTGATTATGGGTCTTGAACTTGGTTGCGATTTTGGATGTTGAATTTGCTAAGGAATCGGAGTTTTTTGGCCAAATTTGTTGGATTTAAGGGTCGAATTTGTGGGTGTTTTGCTGTAGAAATTCACTGGAGTAGCAACTCTTTTTTTTTTCTTTTTGTTTAGTGCACTAATAGTTGTTCCTCTAATTAAGTATACTAGAGGAGGATTGTATCAAATGAATCCTTAGTTTTGAGAATAGGATGCTAACAATTTCCAATTACAGAAGTGTAATATGGTCTTTCCAATAAGCAAAGACACATGGCAAATTAAGGCATCAGATTTCAACATTAAGTATAAAAACATATGTTTTGCTTTGGATTCTGCTTTTGAATTCTAATAATATACTGTTTAAAAAAATAACAGTGCAAATAATTAATATGTAAGGACAACAAAATACATGCATCTTTTCAAAAGGAACCACATACAAAAATATAAGCATGAATGCCAAGCACATGCATATCTGACTCTAAACATAACAATGCCCATAAAAGTGAAACAAATAGACAATGTTACAAGCATCATTCAACCTCAGATAAAGATACTCATAATAGAGGTGAAAAAATTAGCAAAAACCTTTCTACATAAGCATCTTTCTAGAAAAACCATAATTTTAAATTTGAAAGGGCGTGTTATCGCCAAATAGATAACATGATGGACCAATGGAGGAAGAACTGCGCTTCACAGTTGTGGTTAAAAGTTTTCAATAATATAGCTAGTTGGACACTATAATATGAAGATCACAACATCACACATCACAGTACAACTAACAACATAAAGCTACAGGGGAAAGGCTCTACTCTCCTTAAAAAACCATGTAGATTCACAAGAACTTGAATGACCATTCTTCCAACTCAAACAGCCACATGAATTATGACATACCTCAAGATAACAACATAATCAACAAAATACAACAAAATAGTAAAATTAAACTAATTTCATCCAAAATTGAACCCTTAATTCAATCTAGTATGAAAACTTGGTGGTGCAGCTTCATTCATCATTACTAAAGTATACTCAAGTCGAACTTGTTTAGGCTCTTCTTTGGCTTGCACCGTGCCTAGAGTCACTATCTATCTATAATGACTCTATTCCGGTCTGCAAGTTTCTTAAGGTATTTTTATCTTGGCAAATACTTGATCTTGATCTGCTCATATTTCTTTTTATCTTAGGTGGTTTGTCCTGATAGGCTGATTTTGCTATAATTTTTTACATAACTTGGAATTTTTGTGTAAATAATATGAATTATAAAAAGGAACTGATCTGACCACCAAAAACAATTGTCCATATTAAGTTATACACTAGAGTTAGTAAAACATCAGAGACTATCCTGCATTGTTACTGTTGTTGCATAGGCATTTCAAATTAGAAAACAAATTGTGGTGACTAGATGGCTTTATAACTAGAATAAATTCGAATCAGAAAACAGTAAGAACACATAACATATCTTACCTTGGTTGAAATTAACTACATAAATTCACCAAAACAGAACCAAAATTCCTTAGAATCGAGTATAAATCCTAAATTTATTTGATTTGTGGGCAATATATATTGCATTTGATGAACCCTAAATTCGAATATGAACCCCCAAAAAGATATTATTTATAAACATGCTTGTAAATCTAGAATTCGTGCAAAAAACAGCAACAAAATAGTAGATTAAGCTACGTTAATTTAGAATTGCACTCCAAATATCTATGTGGATTGAAATGCATGATAAAAAAGAAAAGAGATGAAGAGGTCTTACCTTGATTGAAATCTATTTTGCATATGCAACTTCAGCAACAATAGAGCCAAAATTCCATATTATTGAGTACAAACCCTAACTTTCAGAGAATCATAACAAATTGCTCCTAATTTGAACGAAAATCCAACCAAATTCCTTAGATCTGTGTGTAAACTCTATTGCAATCGTAGAACAAAAAAAAAACCCAAAATTCAAAGCTCAAACTTAAGTTTCTCACAATTATGCTTGGTTTTTTTGTCAAAAATTCTAGGGTTTTTATTAGGACAATATTAACTAGCTTTTGATTTGAGTTTTCAATTGTTATTTTGCTCAAATTTAAGGTAATTTGCTCGATTTTCTGCAATTGAATTTCATGGGGACTTTGGGTAGATTTTTTGATCGAAAGTATGGGATTTTGGCTCGGATTTGCTCGAATATAAGGGGTTTTGCCTCACATTTGCTGGGAATATTGATTAGTGGTCAAATTTTTGTAATGTTTTGGGGTTTTGATGTTGAATTTCCGGGAATTTTGGGGTTGAATTTTCTAGGGTTTGAACTTTGAAGTATTGAAGTTCGAACAGCAGAAGGCAGCGACAATTTATATAAGCCGTAATGGTCATTTGCGTCGCTTGTCAATAAACGAGTGACACAATGACTCACAAAGGTTATTTGCGTCGCTTGTTAATAAACGAGTGACGCAAATGACAATGTTATTTGCGTCACTCCTATTTATAAAAGCAACGTATATATAAGTAAGTTGAAATATGTCAGACATTTGCTTCGCTTTGTAACAAATGTCCGACGCAAATTACTGATAATGTTGTCAAAATATCTCATTTGCGTCATTTGTTTCTATGAGTGACGCAAATAAGGCGACGCAAATGAGCATTTTTCTACTAGTGTATAGAGGTGTGTTGAGAGATTACAAATTTTGTTTTGACCAAGGGTAGATTAGTTTTCCACGACCTAGTCTCGCCTTAGATCAATAACCGAAGTTGCACAGTCGGCCAAGGTTAAGAATGTGTTGGTGGGTGCTTATGATGGCACCACCAACCCAAATGGCACCCTCATGGCTTATTCCAACCTTATGCACATGCAGGAGCTAGAGGACGCTATATGGTGCCGGTGCTTCCCGGCTACATTGAAGGGCATTTCCCAACAATTGTTTGGCAACCTGCCAGCCGGGTGCATCGATAGCTTCAAGAAGCTTGCTTTCCTGTTTGCCTCCAACTTCTCGATGAACATCCTTTCCAAAAAGACAAGTCTCGTCTGGAGCACCATCCGACAGGGAGATAGAGAAGGGCTCTGCTCCTATGTCAGGCGGTTCAACCTGGTGAGAATTCAAATCCAGGGGCTGTCTGACGAGATAGCCTATACAGACTGAAAGGAATGGTGTCCTTCGAACAAGTGTATTATTCTGATAGCGGGTTCAGAATTATTACAAAGCTAATATATATTCAGTAAGGTCAAGTGATCGGAATGCCTGGGTGAAGGCCGCTTCCGATCAGTAATATTAATGTATAATTAATATTACACCTTAATCTTGGCTGAACCCTTCGGGTCACACCCTAGCAAATATACGAACCGACTCGACGAATTAATTCGGAAGAAATTAATTCGTTGCCCGAGTGTTAAATATTTAGACGTCGGAAATTCGAGCTTAGAGCGTCAAAACCAAGCGTCGGAAGTCGAGTCAAAAATAGTAAAAGACGAGACGACAAAATTAGTAATAAATCAACAATGGATAAAATACCCCTAGCATCGGAATCCCAAGTACTAGGGGATTAGGAAAGCTAGCAGCCCGCACCATGTGCGAGGCCTGCTAGCGAGCCACGACCAGCAGCCCGCAAGCATTGCATGGCTTGCTGGCGCGCGCCATTGCTAGCAGCCCGCACATGTGTGTGGCTTGCTAGCAGCGCCTATCGGTAGTAGTAGCCCGCACATATGTGCGTGGGCGTGCTGGGCCGAGAAGGCTGCAGCTAGCAGCCCGCGTGTGCGGGGCTAGGCTGGGCCGAGTGTTAGGGCAGGTCATTGGGGAAGCATGTGAAGGGAGTGTGTTTGTGTGAGGACAAGTGGCACAAAGAGAGGAAAGAGTGGGGAGCAAGTATGGTCCCCTCCTCTCCAAGTGGTCCTCACTTCTCTTTACATACAACAAAGACACTTGTTGATTTATTACTTGCTTGCCTATTTAATTTATTTTAGCTTTAAATTAAATTGTGGAATTTCATGATCCCAGATTGATGGGATTGAAATTCTCACTCCCACTTTTCTCTATAAATACCCAAGTTGGGTTTTGGAGAAAAGTGCTTGAGTGGGAGTTAAAAAGAGCATTGCATTTTGGCAAAAACTCTTAAACGCCAATAACCCTTGGGTTTTGGTCGGACCTTGCTAACTCCAAGGTAGCGGACCTAAAAAGTCGGTGTTCGTCCTTTGTGGGTGGATACCGTTGGAGGCTCGGTATTTTCGGAGCTAAAGCTTTCAAGTAAGAGCCCATTAGGTCGGGCGAAGCAAGCCTCAAAGGTAAATTTCGATTTTATCCTTTTATGTTTATTTGTTATGCTTTATGGTTTTATTAATTGCGAGTGGTTCTTTGGGTCGGGGTCGTTTTCGCGGTAAGTTGGACTTACCAAACCCCAACAGCGGTATCGGAGCCACGCTCGTTTATTTTTAAATCATAATATTTTTCAAGGTGATTTTTATGGCTTAATTTTTCTGGTTTAAGTTGCTAGTTAGATTAGTAGCTCGTATTATCTATTTTCACCTCGTATTTAAGCTACCTTCAGCCCCGAACCCAGATTTCGACCCAAAAATAGTGAATTTTGGGTGGAAAATGTGTTCTAGAAATGGTTTTATTCTTCCAAGGGACGGTTTTAGCCAAAAAAACGACCAGAAATGCTAATTTCGAGGGTTTTTTTCGTTTAACGAAAAATTTTAAGTCTTTCTAACCTTGAAAATTAATTGCATATTTATGGTGGTTATGTAATTGGTTCAATACATATTTTATATGCAATTTTAAACCTCTTTAGGCATGATTACTTGGTAGTAATTTGTGCTTGAATTCTTGGTTTTATTTTTTCACATAATTGCAAACTAATTGCATTAAGTGTGAAGTTGTTGTTCTTTGAGGCTTCCAAGTATTAAAGATTCAATCTTTAATTATGTTAAGTGATTGAAACTTTATATTACTAAATTCCATGAATTTTGTGATAGAAAAATTGTTTATCTACATATTGGAAGGTATAATTTTTCAAGGATTCACAAGTATTAAATTTGGAATCTTTATTGAACTTATGTTCATTTTTCCAACTCCCTCTTATTTTGTCAAAAACTCAAGATTAATTTAAATTAATTAAATTAATAGTGAGTAATTGCCCTATTATTTTTGTTGCACCAAGTTAAACCAATTTAATTAAAGAATGGTTCTTGGGAATTATTTTGGTTACATGCACTTTAAAATTTTTATTTAAGTTAGACTTGTTTAAATTTTTTTTTAATTTTGCTCAAATGAATTAGTTCTAAAATTAATTTAGAATTAATAATTATGTCACGCAAAATTGGGATCAAAATCCCGAGGCTAATGGCACGCAAAACAAGGCATAAGCGCCCTTGGCTAGCCGGGCTGCATAGCAGCCTGCATGTGGCTGCCAAGGGGCTGCCATGCCCTGTGCGTGCAGCCAAGTCGTGCTTGGTGCGCACGGACGCATGCAACAGCACAGCGACAGCAGCACGCTGCCATGTGCGTGCGTGTGTGATGTGTTGCGTGGTGCTTGGGGCGGATGTGGGGGCATGAGCACATGGTGCATCGCTTGGGACTTGGCGCATGCGTCGTGTAATTAGGGGTATGCGTAGACGTTGCTTGCGAAGCAATGTAGTGCAATGAATTCGTTCAACATGGCCATCAAGGGCCACGTTATTGATGTGTGAAAGTTCGCTGATGTGGGCGGTGTAACTCTTAGCGACAAACGGGCCCACTCCCACGTTCATTGAGCATCAAACGGTTGTGCGAAATGTGAGCACTCCATGTCTTAGTGCTAGGCACTTAGACACTTTGGACTACGTATTTTTGCTTAAAAATTGTCGTTTTAATTATTTTATTATTTTAATTTGTTTTAATTATTTTGATAAATTTTGGAGGCTAGGCCTCGGTTTTGAGCGGCATTGGCAAAATTTATTTTGAAAATTTTTGGAATTATCGGCTTAATTAACTGGATTAATTATGTTGGATGCGGAATTTAGTGGGAGCTTCAAATGTTAATTGCGCTTATTTACATAACCGGTTAAAACAACTTTGACCAATTTTAATTAGGCGTGTTACTTGGATTAACCACCAAGATTAGTTAATAGTTCACGTATGTTTATGCATTGTTACTTGTTTATCATTGTAAAATGCATGGGCCATTCACAAATAGTCAATGGATGAATGAAATGTATATTCTCTCACAAGTTTTATGAAATGACAACTAGTGGGGCCGATTAGGATAGAAAATACGGACTGCGATCCGTGATGTGTTTTTGTAAATCTAAATACAGTCTGCGTACCGTTGAGTATTGTTGTACCTTAATTTTTAGATTAGTCCTAATCGTAGATACTAGTAGTTGCATTTAATTATGGTCAAGTCTTGAAGATGGAGGTTCTTGGAAGACGCAGGCATGAAAGTTGCAATGAAGACCTTTTGAAGATTTGAAGATCTCAAGGGGTCATGCTAGTTGCCAAATGCATCTATATTTATGTTCTTCGATATATATATATATATATATATATATATATATATGTTTATGTATGTATATATATATGTTTATGTATGTATATATATATATATATATATATATATATATGTTTATATATATATATATGTTTATGTATATATATATATGTTTATGTATATTTATATATATATATTTATGTATATGAATTATATGTTAGATGCATGTTTAGGATTTCGAATGTGGTGATGATTAATTAAGTTCACTTAAATCAACCAACATAGAAACCCTAGGTCCCTAATTATTGAGTAAAAACTTGTCATTCCAAAACAACACTTACCAGCCGAACGAGGGTAGTGGTGGGCTACGCCGAAGCAAGGCATCACTACCTCTCCTAGGAGCGTAAGGCATACCGGGTATGCAAGTTGGTTTTGGTTATACTCAACGATATGAGTGATAAAGTCCTAACATGTCGTGGCAAAGTGAATAAATTGTTGAGAGAGCATTAGATGCGACGATTTATTCAACCAATAGTGGCTTGGAGCCATTAGCAAAGTGTTACTTACCTTAGGAGATTGAGTGTTAAGACAAGCCAAAGCATGCTTAACCACTCTTTGTTTCTTCGGATCTTGGAATTGACTTATTCTCACCAAATTGGGGACAACTTTAAATGTGTGAATAAGACGTTTTAAATAAGTTTGATTAAAATGCATGAATTCAATCTTATTTAAATTTCATGAATGGTTTTTCATTTCAAATTCTTTCAATTGTAGAATCATGTCTTCAAATAACTCAAACAACGAATTCTCGTTACGCTCGATTCTCGACAAGGAGAAGTTGAGTGGGCCAAATTTTCTTGATTGGCAAAGGAACTTGCGAATTGTTCTCATGTAAGAAAAAAAGGAATATGTCCTTGATGAGGAAATGCCCGAGAATC